ACTGTAGTACTTGATCACATTCAGTCTTCTGGGTTAAATAATATGTAATAAGGCTTGAATATTAGCCTTTCAAGAGTTAACAGGGAAATGAGATCGCATTAGACTTCTAACCCCTACAACTCTAGTACGGGACATCCGTCCTGTACGAACAGACGCACAAATGTGTGATTACTAACTACTAACATCAAATTAATGTAATAATTCGAAGGAGGAGTATCGGTGTTCATCTGTTCTAAACAGGACTTCGACCCGTGAGCAGCCCCCTGGGGAATTATGTCGGAAAATCCGACACCATTTAATAATTATACAGATAATAACTGTATTACCAACAAGTTACCCATAGAAAACGTAACTTGTAGTGGATTTACCGTCTAAAGAAAACGGGATATCATCACCACATACTATTATAATTCACCAGCTATTTTGCTGGGAATTATTCTTAAATACATTAGTCTTTGGACTTTACCATCATAAAAACATCTTATATAAATTAACTTAATTATCAATATTAAAGTAGAGTAAATGTGACCCTTCTACCACTTTCTGAAATCTGGACAAAGTAGGCCAGGCGGGAGTGAGGAAGGAGGGCAGCCATTGTTGTGTCACCTCCGAGACGTGTGGAGCAAATTCGGCTCCTATCATTCTGGACAATGTCGGCCAGTAACGTCAATTGTATGGAGAGTTAAACAGTCATTGTTTATACGAGACCAGAGGCACACGGGAGCAAATTCGGCTCCTGTTAATTTTACTTGGACGTAGTGTTATGGATACCAAAGGTGTACCATCTGTCAACACGCTGTCAACAAATCAAGTTAAGTGTTCTTTCCGAAACCCATTATTTATCATTAGTGGCCATTAATGTCATTATATAGGGTGATCCGGTTAGATCACATGGAAGCCTCAAACTAAAGGTAATTAAGCCAGGTCTTCATGTTCCATGTACTGTTTTCTCTGATATACTTGTCATATATAGGTATCTGGCTTCACAGCTAGCGCACTTTTGACAGGTCAAGACGAGGATGCAAGATTTGTGCACCAGTTACTGGGTGATATGGAAGCTACCTCAAAGAGGATAATTTGGTGTCTACACCCTAGTTATACCTGGTGGACTAACCTGCTGTACTATAAGATAAGGAACCTCTTCAATGTATGTAGTTACTGTAGTTTGATTGGCTGCATACATATAAATATAAACCCCCCCTAATGTGTAGAGGATCGATTTGTGAGATTATGAGATTATTGCAGAAATACAGTCCACTTATCATTATACAAATTGCTATCGAAGTATATAAATTAACGTAAATATAAATTCATATAAATTAAATAAATATAAATCTCACAGGTCGGTTCCCACAGGACCAGGATTCCTCAGGCAGTTACGCCAGTACTTACGAACCTGTACATCTTTTCTCAATCTTTACCGGCTTTGTTTACAGTTTAGCCGTTAATGCTAAAACTCTGTTGATGAGCCGTGACGCACTAGGAGGCTGTTTATAACAATAACGCTCGTAAACTGTTTAATAAATGTAAACAAAGCCGCTAAAGATTGGTAAAAGATGTAGAGCTCCGTCAGTAGGTGTGTGAGTGCTTGTTCCACCTGGTCCTGGTGCCAAGGACGGTCGCACGCTCAACCAACCATTACTTGAGACAACTGACAGCTAAAATCCAGTCCAGACAAAGTGTTCAAGGTTGATCCAGCAGGGAAACAATAACTCGCGCGCCGAGAACAACATTTTTAAGGCACTATAGAGACTGTATAAACACAGTGTGGGGGGGGGGGGGGGCGACACTGCCTACCCAGCCAGAGAGGCGAGAGGAGTGTGTCAGCACCAGGAGTGCTCCTAGCGACTGTATGCCAGTTGATAGGGAGCCGCGCTAGGGGTGTGGAGAGCGGAATTGATAAGGGCGATAAGGAAGAAGTTGAGGCAAGGCATGTGAGGAGCATGTGGGGTGAGGAAGCAACGATCTTCACTGCTCACAAGATATCTTGGAAGTTAGGGCTTCAAGCCAGGTACTGGAACCAGTCAAGTTACTGAGCGTCGTGTGTGTACTCACCTAATTGTGCTTGCGGGGGTTGAGCTTTGGCTCTTTGGTCCCATGTGTGTGTGTGTGTGTGTGTGTGTGTGTGTGTGTGTGTGTACTCACCTATTTGTGCTTGCAGGATCGAGCATTGACTCTTGGATCCCGCCTTTCCAGCTATCGGTTGTTTACAGCAATGACTCCTGTCCCATTTCCCAATCATACCTAGTTTTAAAAGTATGAATAGCATTTGCTTCCACAACCTGTTCCCCAAGTGCATTCCATTTTTCCACTACTCTCACGCTATCTTATCTTGAGGTTATCTTGAGATGATTTCGGGGCTAAAGTGGACCCGCGGCCCGGTCCTCGACCAGGCCTCCACCCCCAGGAAGCAGCCCGTGACAGCTGACTAACACCCAGGTACCTATTTACTGCTAGGTAACAGGGGCATCATGGGTGAAAGAAACTCTGCCCATTGTTT